CTTGCATTTTGCGTTCGCACAACACTTTGGTTTTGGAGCACTCGATGTCAATGAGTGGGTCGTCGGCCACAAAGGTCTCGGGTCTGAGATCGTCGTACGACTCGTACGTCTCGATCCCTTCGTCGCCATCTTTTTGCCGCCGATTCCTCATCTCTAACAACAAGTCTTCGTATATCTTAGCCATCATTGACTCACTATTGGTTACAATCAGGTGTTTGCTCTCAATCTCCGCCAAAACCGCTTTCCGCACATCTATTATAGTGAACGACTCGTCCAGATATCGGCGACCACTCGTCACAGACCTCATTGTCCGCATTCGCTTCAGATAACTGTTGAACACGTTTTCAACGCATCGATTAATTTCTGGATAAGGCGTCGACTCGTACTTCAATTTCTTAAACAACTGTCGGCCCGTATTTGTCGACCGATTCAACAACTCTTCCCTTTTGACCCAAAGTTCTTCAGCCTTTCGATAGAGTTTCGGCAAATCAGTCCAACAGCTCTTTCCGCCCAACGCCTCGAAGTCCAGCTCCGAGTTCTCCGCCCGAAAGATCTCCTTTTGGACGGCCTTTAACTTATCGGTCAACTTATCCACACATTTAACCTTTGCTGTGCCCTTCAGTCCACTCTTCTTCACCCTCTTTTCGGTCAATCGTTTCATTTCAATCAATAGATCGTTATTATGAGACACAATGCGATCCTTTTCCACCATTTGTAGCACTTCTTCGGTAAACATTTCCAACAGTTTTGAGTATTGACTTGACTTCAAGAACGACTTGTTTTGTCTCAACTTATCGTACATTTCATTCATACGGCACAGGATATCGTCCGTCTCTTTCTGGTCGGCATTCATATCATTCATACGGGTTTTAAATGCCTGCAAATAGTGGTTGAATTGAGTCTCGGGATCGACGGGCGCTGATGGCGGCTGCGGAGGTGCCACCAAATTGGTGATCTCCGTGTCTGCGGGACCTATGATTCGCTGCATCTTTGTGGGGATCGGATCCGCTTCTGTATCCGCCGCCCCATTGGTCGCACCGTTTGAAGTGGAGCCCAATTGTACGGGCGTTGTGTTGACCCGTTTCGGGCTCTTTGGCGCAGTTTTGACCTCAACTTTAATGTCATTCGTACTCTCTTTTTGATCTTCGCTTAAGACATCAGTGACCACAGCCTCTGTGGCCGACACAACAGCGGCCGCCGACACACCATTTAAGGGCAACGAATTGACGGACAATTGATCCGACAAATTGATGGTACGATTGTTGTCGTCGTCCGCGACATCGCTGTCACTATCGCTCTCTCCGATGATAATCACGTCATCGCTCTGTCAGTCATCGCAAGCAAAACATACCATTCATTAGATAACAAAAATACTGGACACAAAACACGTGTGCAGACAATCATCACAATCTCAAGACACAAACCTCACTCTCGTTGTCTTCGTAATCAATATCGTCGTCGTCGTCATCGATGGTAATCACGTCCACAACAGGTCGGTCTTCGGCTGCGGCCATGGCTTGAGTCGGGTTCCCGTAAGCGGCCATCCCTTCGCCGCTGTCTTCCTCTTCATCGGCGCCGCAATCGATCAGCACTTCCTCTGCACTCATCTTATTATCCATGGGTTTCGCGTCGAAAGACATTCACCGCTTGATTAACGTTAGGGCAAAACAAACACGTGAAGCACGCGATCGGATCCAAAGCTGAAGAGTTTTTGTCAGACAAACCACTCAATCAAACACTTGATATCGACTTTGAATGCAATGTAAAAATATTTGGTTTGCGTTTTGAATCCGCTTTTTTCGATGACTTTTTTACTAATGTTGTAATTATGACATAAATTACGACATTTTATTTCGCAGTATTTTTGGCCCCATTTTCTGGTATAAAGTTTTTTTTGCATAGCGTTTGCTGTTTAACATTATTATCGACTTTTATTGTGTTTTTATTCAATAAGTGGACGTTATTTATTACCATTAGTTTTGCATTGAGTTATGTTTAAATAACGTGTACTTTACTATACAGTACTCAATATATAACTCTTATAGAAAAGTACTAAATTGTTGAGAGTATATACGCATACACTATAACAGTACACAATACAGTTGACCCCAATTAACTCAACAACTTTAATACAGTATGACTTCAATGCAATCTAGTTTATTATTAAATTAATATTAATTATGTGTACCTATAGTGTACACTGTATATAGTAAAGTACATTGTATACAATTAAATAAACAGTCACTTTATAACATATATGTAATTAATTAACATACAGTGGATATAGAGCTGATTTTAATGTGTAAGCAATAACGGGAGTCGACTGTAGCTGCGATAGCAGACAACGAGCACTCATTTATTGGCGATTTGTTTATCAAATGTATTAATGAATGAATGAAATGATTATTTGAAACCCATTTTGCGCTCAATTTTATCGATAAAACACAAACTCTTTGTTAATTGCATTCAATGTTTGCATTCATTCGCCAGAAATCGGTATTCAATTATGTATTAATGAATGAATGAAATGATTATTTGAAACCCATTTTGCGCTCAATTTTATCGATAAAACACAAACTCTTTGTTAATTGCATTCAATGTTTGCATTCATTCGCCAGAAATCGGTATTCAATTCAAGTGTTGTTTAGTTTTTGACACAACAGTCGGTAAAACAGTGTTTGCAATGCAGTAGTGATTGAGTGGAGAAGTGTTGAGTGAAAATCAATGTGTTTTTTGGTTGCAATTTGTTTTGTAAACAAAACACACAAAAAAAGTTATAATTGAATGTCAAATACAATGCAATTGAATAGCGTTTCGTCGATTGAAACCAAATTAAATGAACTCAACATTAGTTTCGGACACAAGTTGTCTAACGTTAGCGCCAGTGATGTGTCGGCGGATCAGTTGGCCGTTTGTTTGGACCAAATGCGGGCACAACTCGACGATTACAAGACACTTATGGCCCAAATCAGTGCCACCGCTGACCACACGACTAAAGGCCAGCCGTCGTCGCCCTCAGAGACCAATACAGTGGCCGATCGGCCCAAGAAGTCATACGCGGATGTGATCCACAATCGCCACAAGTTATTGCCGCAGATATGGCCGCAACACGTGATGTCACCCCCGGAACAGATGTCACCGCACGATGTGTTTCAGAATCAGTGGTCGCCTCAAGAGGTGACACACAATCAGAGGTTACCGCAGGATATGCTCCACAATCGGAGATCACCTCAAGATTTGCCACACAATCAGAAGTTTACTCAAGATATGCCACAAAACCAGAGATCAAATGCGAGATACGATCTCAAGTCAGATGAAAATGAGGCGCCAAATGGTGTGAAGAAGTGCCCCAATAATGGCGTGAATAGCGACCCGAAGAAGAGACGGCGCATACCTCTGGTGACGACTCCGCGAAAGATAGTGAGCGGCCATAAGAGTGACCAAAACGACAATATCGTGAGCGCCAAGAGTGACAACAATCGCGAGAAAGAGCTGCGGCTGGAGATCGAGCGCCAGTTCTTTGGCTCGCATTTGCCGTCACTGAAAGAGACGGTGGACTTCGTGTCGGATCGGATCACTTCCAAATGCATTCGTCGCGTGCGTAACGAAGTGTACGTCAAATGCAAGCAGTCGTACAACGAGTCCATTGCGATCACCGCCGCCGACACCACCGATGTGAAGTTGTGGTCACTTGACCTGAACCTAACGTAGTGCTTACGGCAGGTTAGCCTCACGCTCGCGAAGCAAGCGCTCATGACATACAGTTGCCTAGGGGTCTAAGTGCGGTAAGAAGGCGACGAACTCATCGAAGACATTGACGATTGCGTACAGAATTTTGCCGCTAAAATTGCCTCCCGTTTGGCGATCGATAAGTCCATCGATTGGGTCCGACAGACGGCTCCGGACACTTGTGCTTATTCAACATCTTCTTCTTCATCTGAACTTTGAGGTCCTTCTCGATCAGCGTTTGTGTGATCGTCTGTCGGACCCAATCGATGGACTTATCGATCGCCAAACGGGAGGCAATTTTAGCGGCAAAATTCTGTACGCAATCGTCAATGTCTTCGATGACAAGCAGCGGAAGAATGGCGTGAATCTGGGGATCCGTTGACATACAGTACTCGCGAACGAAGCGCTCGCACTCCGATTGGACGGCATTCGTGATGCAATCCAAGTCCAGTTCACTGNGTAAATATAGTGGACTTCTCGATGGCTTTGATCGCCAATAAACCGGATCTAATTGTGGAGACAGTTATCCGACGGTTCGTCGACTATTGGCTCGAATTCAAGGTCACTGTCGAGAAGTACATCTGTCCGCGCAATCTGTTTATACTAACCGAACGGTCAAAGTGTGCGCTCAAGAGTTGGAACAAATACGAGACAATGTTGTTGAAGATGCTGTCGAATGGCATCACAAACCATAAGGTGATCGAAAGCGACTGTTTGTGGACATTGAAACAGGAATGGAGTGATTCGACGCTAAACCGATTGGCCAGTTGTCTGAAGTCGGTGTCCGAGTGTCAGAAGCCTATTGGCGGCCAACAGCCAGACGACGGCGAGTTGGATGAGCGCCAGACCATCGACTGGCTCTCCTGGTTCTGCACTCAACCCGAAGAACCCATTACTTTGTGATCCACTTTATTGTTGATGTGTTTTCTTGTAATTAATGGCTGTTTTTTATACAATTATTTCATATAAAAATATTTATTATGTGTTTTAAAACAAACTTATTTTAATTAAACAAATTTTTAAAGTAATAATTATTTTGGGCTTTTTATGTCTTAAAAACAACATAAATAAAGAGTTTATTTAGATTTAATATAAAATGAGTGAATAGTTAGCGAAAGGAGTTGTCGACACAAACGCTAACACTTTGATAATAATTATAAACACGTTATTAAATGTGTTAATTATAAAATGGATCCATCGATACATAACTGTTCGTAAAACAGATAAAAACGTGTGGACACACAGGAAAACAATGGTAGACCTATGGGTACCATAAGAGTTGGCGTCCAATCGAGTGATCCGTTTCGTAAAATATATGTACAAATTATTTTATATAAACGAAATGTTAGGTTATGTTATCATTACATATAAAAAATTTTTGGCATTCAATTCGGTTCATACCTGAGTGGGGAAACACACTCAGGCATCGCATACTTATATAGTATAAATGTATTGTAAAAATTATAAATAATATAATCAATGATTTAAAAAACACTACATTTTGACATCACTTTAAATCAAACGATTTTTATGATGACTGGAATCGTCTTCGAAGTCGATGAGCGAGCGATCGTCCGTCGGCTGCGTTCGGGACTTAATTTGTGACAACTGTTGGCTAATCTTCTTATACCACTCGAAGGCCTGAGTGGGTGTCGGCGCCCGAAATTTGTACACATTTCGGCCCAATGTGTCCGACAGTGTGAACGTGTCGTTGCTTTGGTTGTTCTCCACCAGCGCCACGAACCAGCCCTCCAACGATTGACATTTCAATGGCTTAGACTTGAACTGAGGGAACAATTGGTTAGACAAATGATTGATTGGCAAATCAATGGTTACAACAAAGCACTCACAACATTGGATTTATAGGTCCGGAATTGTCTGCAATCAAAGTACAGCAGTTGTGTTCCCTGTAATAGAAGCCAATACTTGGCCCACACTTTCATCTGCGAAGTGGAAGAATACAAGAGTTAATTAAATGGCACCACAAATACGGCAAAAAAAACAATACCTGCGGTCTCTTTCCGTCCTTAACACTTGTCCTCCTCTTAACCATTCCTTGGAATACAATTTTATCGGCAGATAATAAATGTCTCTTTCGTTCGAGCGTAGAGTCGATGGAAGGCCTCGTCTTCAACGCCCTGTCGTCCGGTTCTCTCTCATCCCTCGTCTCGTCGTCTGCCGTCGACTCGTCGTAAATGATTTCAATTGTCGGCAATGAAGGCGTTACTGTCGGCTCGAGAGGCTCTCTCGGGCTCTGGACAGTGGCCTCTTCGGCGATGATTGTGTCGTCAATTAGACACAGATTCCTCTTATTCTCCACAATAGTCTTATTTACAGTAAATGTCTTCGAAGTCAATGGAATGGTTGTCGACGCCATTATGGATGTCAACACATTTGTGCCCAGACTTTGAGATTTCCTGTGGCCGACGGCGAACGGCCGCCGCCTATTCATTGCGGGCATCGAATTGGCGGTCGGCTGTTGAGTGTCGGCGCAGTTAAAGCTGACGGACAAACGGTTCGTCTGACTGGAAGTGACCGTTTGGTCGCCGGAATCGTTGTTTGAGCGAACAGTTTGGCTGTGCTCTCGCACGTAGAATACACTTTTGCCATCCGTTTCGGGCGGTTCCAGACTTAACGATAAACTAAACCACAAATTGAAAAATAAATCAATCAATGATTAAAACACCAAAGACTCACTTAAAGTTGTCCTCTTCGACAAACTTCTGAAGCTCTTCTATATATCTGACGGATAGTAAATACTTTTGAACGTTTGGCATAATTGTTAGATTGTCTGCAATAGAAACAAATCACACAATAAGATAATGTTTAGACAATTATTACTCAAAGAGTGACAAGTGTTTACCATAGACTGAGCGTTGAAACTCAGCGATCACACGGAGTATAGCATCCATTTTACGGGACCTCTGGTGCGACTCGTGATGGCCTCTGACCAGAGGGTGGGCGACGTCCACATACACGATGTCATGCAAATAGAGGCCCAGATATGGAATGCACGGCGCCTTCGATGAGTTCAAGTGGTCCCGAAGTCTCTCAAAGTTATCCTTATCGGCGAACAAGTCGTCCAATTGTTTAAACAATTGCTTATCTTTTTTCGATAAATACTATTAAAAGTGTTATCAAAAGAAACAATAGATTAATAACAAAATATTTACAAATATAGATATGAATGGCAAACAAAACACTCCTAAAACAATGCATTGA